TAAGCTAGTTTGATCTAGTTTGTAGTCACAAGCCTTTGTAGTATTTGGGGGGAAAGTTGGGTCCGGGCCAGAAATGGAACCGATCATCCAGTGCATCACTGTTGTTGACTTCCTGTAGGTCTTACAGTCCTTGTATCGTTGCCAAGAGTACTTAAACCCTTTGAGCGCTGCAAGTGCACAGCGCTTAGCTGGAGCTGCGCGGAGGTGAAGCCTGCAACCAGCCATTTGGCTCCGGGACGGCTCCAATACATTCCAGTAGAGGCTGTAGAGGTTACACCCAGAAGCCTCCACAGCTCATGAGGTACAGTGGCAGGACTTGAGTTGCTTTAGGAGGCCAAAGCGTTCCCAGAGCTCCACAGAGCCTGGCAGCCATGGCTGACGAGGATGATCTCCCCTTCAGGCCTCACCACGGCACCCCGGCCCAGCAGTTTCCCGAATGCTTTGCTGTTTAGCTGGTGCGTATTTGGTTGTTGCTTTGGCTGAGAGAAGCAACTCCTGCAAACAAGCAGATCGGCAGCCAAGGCACATCCCTCAGCATTGAGGACGGGGCCTTATAGAGTAAGTACCTAATTCCATGGATGAAAGCAAGATCGCCAGGGATCCCGCAACCCCTTCTTGGAAGCACTGTTCATCCTTTGCATCGCTTCCTGGCCTTGGAAAGCATGGTGCTATAGAGTCTGACAGGCTTGTTAGTGCTCTTTATCATCAAGATCTGTCGCTTGCTGCTTGTATTTTTCTTTGCAGACCAGCCCCAAGACAATTAAACGGTTCTGATGATACCTCGCCGCCACTTTGCGGTTGGCGCTCTGGGTGTTGTCAAAAGGCTGAGTCACTTCTTCTCTGCTGGCCCATGCGTGCCGAAATATGTTCTCTGACAACTTCCAACGCGCTTATGGATCCCCAACCAGGTATTTCGAATGCTCCGACCGCAGGTTCTGCAACAGAGTTTGCTGGGCTCATGGTACGGGGGGTCTCTCGGACTGATATACCCTAAGAAGGACCTGATTCTGAAGAAGGACCCTGACAAGCCAGACATAAGAGTTGTCCTATGTTGAGCGCAAGGAGCCCCAGTCGCCGAGCTCAAGGCAGGAAGTGAGCTCCTTCGTTGCATTGCCGGTGGAGCGGGGGCCCCAGTTTGGTGGTTTAAGATGCTTCTACGCTTCTGCTTGGTGGTCAGAGAAGGGCTCATGGATTCCAGGCGCGTAGCAATCAGGGCAGTCTTTGATGCTTGATGTGGTACGCATACTCATTACAAGACCATGGGACCTCTCTCATGGGCCAATTTTAGGCAGAAAGCCAGCCTGAGATAGTGGGTAGCTGGCACGGCTATGCTGGGTCTGATTTCACCGACTCCTCTGCAAGGTCTAGGCAGCTGCCATGTTGCAGACTGCAGTAGCCAGTCCCAGCCAAAACCCGCTCCGAATCTGAAGCACTGCGCAGCTTTCCGTCATGTCTTGTGATGTTCCAAGTCCTACAGATTCATGGCACTATCTTGTAGGATTAATGAGAAACCATTGTTATTGAAATCGCGTTGAAATCCAAAACTGACACGTAAGGACTGATGAACTCATGATCAACAGAGTAGCCAACGTGAATCAGGCCCTGAAATGCCCAGAAGTTGTTGCTTCTGGCGGTCAGCCCTTGATCCAACGCCTCATGAGTGCATTGAAGAACTGAGATGCGTTCTGAGGCTTGATGAGCAGAGACACAACAAGGCTGCGCTGCAGTCAAACACTGAAGCGCTCCTTGCCTTGAATGCTACAGGGCTAGGTGGAGCTTTCCCTAGATAAGGGGTACCTTTTTGGACCCCCATAATAAGGATTTCATAGTATATTGGGGTCTATATTGGGGTCCCCCTAGTTTGGGAAACTGCTAGGTATTACCAGGGCTTCAAGGCTCAGGTTTCAAGGTTTCAAGGTTTCAAGCCGCAGTTTCTGCGGCTATCAGGGAGCCACCCAAGCTTCGTTGCAAGCTCTTCACTTTTAGAGTGCTTGGGATGGGCCTGTCACGTATAATTAAAAGGCCTGATAGTGATCCAGGGTTTAGGGATCAGGGTTTCGGGTTGGTAGGGCTCTGGGCTTAAGACTTTGGATTGGGTTTGGGGCGTAGGTCCGCAAGTAATCTTCCACACCTGCGTTGGGAAGGATCTTCAACCTGCTCAACAATGCCTTGGGCGTGTCGCTCTTGGCTGTCGGCTGGGTGTGTTCAGAGGCCAGGCCAAGATTCTTCTCACAGATTTCGATGCTTATTATGGCAGAATATGGTGCACCGTGGTATATTATGGTAGATTATAGTATTATGGAGTGAATTTCACGACACTTGCTCATTCTTCAGGGCTTAGGCTGGCCTTAGGCTGAGGGCTTCAGGCGTGTCGGCCAGGCGCTTCATCTTGATTCAAAGTCAAACGCCTGCAATGCTCCAGTATGATGGCTGTGGGGAGCGGCAAAGGCATGCAAAAGATTGCGTGCGTTTTAAGACATCCGTGGTTGTCCAGTCATTGCCGGCACGAGGGAGTACCTGAACCAGAGCCCAGGGTTTCTGCGCTTCGCAAGTTCCCCCCCTGCGCCCCCAGTGGCACTTCCTGGAAATTCTTATATTCTTCATCAGACGTCATAGTAACTGAATTTTGGCGGGAGAACACAGATTGGGACTCCAGGACCACACATGGGTCCAAAAAGCCAGTCCGAAAATCAGAGCGTTTTCGCCCTTGCGGGGCTGTTCTTGGATTCTGCTTCTGGCATATTGTAACTCCTAAACCTTTACCCTAAACCCAAGAAAGCCTCAATTCTACGGCGCCATATCCGGATTCCTGATGCAGAGCAGGTGGGTCTGGTGCTTGGCCTGTCTCTATATGCCCTGTCCAACTTTCTGAACAGCCGCCTGGCTACAGTTTGCTGCCTGGGGCTTTAGATTGCGTCATCTCAGATGATGTTATTGCTGCAGTGCAGTGGTACCTGAGTTTCCTGACATCATCTCATCAACTAACTAGATCATCCTCACATCCTTGACTGGATTCTTTTTTGAGAAGGCACCTGCCCCACAACTTGCTCATGATCTCGCCTGAGGCAACACCAGAGTTTAAGAGTTCTTTTCATTCGCCCGATTTAGGATTTCAAGTCCCTGAAGAAATGCTGGTTCCACAAATGTCTCTGCGCAGAATATTGCACAAACAGGCAAAGTCCGCAGGTTCAAATCAGAATTGATGGTTCCTCGAAGTGCTCTGCATCGCTGTGGGTTTCCCTTCATTATGATACAGTCAGTTCGTAAGATGCAAAGTGATCGCGTCATGCCACCACCTCCCGTACTATTGATGTAGCCACCAGCCCGGCTGTAACCGCCTGATGAAGATCGCCAGAGAAGAAGAGGCTACTAGTGATTAGCTGTAACAACTTCCGACATATTCATTAGCCACAAGCCTGACCTTCCTGGTGGTTAGTAGGGTGGGTAATGGGTCGCTAGGTCCCATGTAATATTCCTTCACTCACTACTACCCACACTCAACCATACACTTAGGCTTCATTGAGAATGCACCCTAAACCCCTACAGTAGATAGCCCTACACAACCTCTTCAAAGTCTACAGTCTCCTAAACCTGAACTCCCCCAGCCTCTCATAGCCCTTCTAAAGTCAGCCCTGAGGATACACTTTGCACCTGATTTACCGCTCCTGCCAGCTTGCCAAAGTGAAAGTGCCCTTTGTGCCGAGCTTTATCTGGCTTGCTGTTAAGGAACTTTAAGTTACCATGATACCGGTCATTTGGCAAATGCTAGGGTTCCTTTATTATAGTAACTTAATGATTAAAGTTCCTTGACAGCAGCCCAATTGTAAGGAGTGGGGTTGAAAGAGAACGTGAAAACTACTGTAGGATTGAGGGTTGAGGGTGTAGGATGGTTGGTAGGCAACCGAACAAGAAAATTGAAACTGCGGTAAGGTTGTTGGAAACTTCTGCATGGTTTGGGCCTATGCGCACCGATCTACATTTGTGGGTCTTCAGCCTTTAAAGGGGTTACAGAGGTTATACAGGTGAAATGCGACAGAACGGAAAATGCCATGGAAGCTTCAATTTGGGCCTTATGGCTTGGTGTGGTTAGCAGGAAATGGGCAACTGAGCACAGGTCTAGAGGCACATTTATAGGGACGCATTCCCTGATGCCCTAATAAGCACCAGGTAGTAATAGGTTTCTGACAAAGACTTAAAGAAGTGGGGGTTCAAGCGGGAAGCATGGATATATACAGATGTATAGTCTTTAGGAAGTAAGATATCTAGGTCGTACTAAGCTTTGTGTGTGCATGCTAAGGTGAACCCAAAAACAGTAATGATACGTGATACAACAGGTAATGATCACATTGATTTTACAGAAAGTAACGAGACATGCAGTCATGATAGTACGAGACTTAATGATAGCCAGTGTAGCAACTGTGCCACCTTAGGATCGCTCGCCAAGGACCCAATACCGAGGAGTCGGCGATTTTTTGAAGACCCAAACTGTCCTTCTCGACACTTCCAAAAATGTTCTCAGTTCGTTTGCAGGTCAATAGAATCTCTCTGCTTCTGAAATTGCATCTAATGAAGGAACAACTACCCTAAGAAGTTGAACTTCCAGTGATTGGCAATGCGATGTGCTCTGCTCTGCCTGACACAGAGACCTGACATTTCAGAGAGCCCTCATGACCAGGTCGTTGACGGCTTGGCAGGGTTGAAGAGTTGAGGACATTGGGTTGTACTTCTGAACTGTCCTCACGTTATAGGTCCACATTCTTCATATAGAACGGCAATACGCCCAAACCCAAGCGCTTGCCACCAATGTTAAAATCGCTACGAAGCTCAAAGACCCCTAACCATCAATATCGAATCATTGGAACAGTCTTGTACTCACAAGAAAACTTCCCCTCCCACTTGACCTCAATTGGCTTCAACAGCAGAGACTTAACGGCATCTCTTGAGAAACATCATCGGTGCTAAGGTCGTACCCAGACGTTGGTCAATGGTGCTTCGGACCCATGGGCTTTGGGTTCATCGCGACATTTATGACGATACAGCCTCCCATCTGAATTGGGTTCAGATATGTTTTGATGTTTGGATTCGCTGCTCCGTGGCAAAGTGCTATGCTGGGTTGTAGGGCTTAGCGGCTTAGCGTTTATACTAGCCGGTACAAGGTGCACAATGAAACCCCTGGTGAAGAATGGGTTGGGGGCAGGCGCGGACGCGGGTCCTAGCTACGATAACCTTCGCAGAGGGGTCTTGAGACAAGGGGACGTTTGCGCACATGCGATGTCTAAGGATGTGCTGCACCTGCACTGCCTATGCCAAGCGCTCAGAGGGCTGAGGGTCAGGAGATTGTTTTCAAAGGTTCTTGACTGACGTTGATGCATTTCAGCTGCCATGTGTTGCGGGTCGGCTTCAATGAATGGTAAGCCTGTGATGTCCTGTGATGCTGAGGCAGTCACAGTTGCTGACGTCCTTGCTGACACCTTCGAGTGGCAAAAGTCTCTTGGCTTGTGAAGGGAGGTCTCAGCTGCGGGTCACTTGAAGAACATGTCATTCCCGATTGCCCTGAGCTTGATTGCAAAGTCGAGTCCGTTGTACGCCCTGCCCAACAGTACTCCTCTAAGGGAGCGGAAGAAGGCAGCCGTTGTTGCTTTCTTTCTGCTGGTCCCGTTCACTTTCATCAGGCCTGTGACCTGTGAGCTTGTTGCAAGCAATGGAGTCGTGGCTATCAGGTAGCAGGAAGCACCTACAAGTAGTTCTGTAAAAAGCCTCCCGTGACGTGAGAGTGTACGGTGGAGGTCCCTTAAGAAGATCGCTATCCTGTCCACCGTCGCGACATTTGCTACCTGGCAGCCACATGCATGATCATTTGGCTTGCAAAAGCCTGAGTTAGCTCCTGCAGGCTGGTGTTCAACTGCCAAACGCCTGTGTCTGAAAAACAGTCCTGCCTCAGGAACAACATGTGACGCTGCATGCACTTGTTTGACTAATCATCTTTCTTGCATGCTCTTCACTCCTATGTCTTATGCAGATGCACGAGGCATGCGTGCTCCAGATGCTGGCTATTGCTGTGCCATGCTACCTGGATGTAGTCAACGGTGAGACCTACGTGGAGCACATGGGTGCCTGAGCATTTTTGGGAAGCCCTTCGTTTTTCCTTTAGTCTGATGATCCAGCATCAAGAGCCGTGACCGGCTATGTTGTCTGTTCTTCAAATAGGCGTCCATCTCAACTTTCAGGCATCTTGACATTTACCCTATCATAGTAATAGCAGCGAAAGTGCGATGCAAACGTTACTAGGCATTGTGTCGCACAGATACAGCTCCTAAAGCAGAATCATGGGCTAGGATTTTCACAGCACTTCCACATTTTTTCAATGACGTTTTCAACATCCCAACAAGCCTTTAGCGGAACCCTCCCGCCCGAAATGCAAAACCCAACAGCCAAAACCCAACAGCATTTCGCTCTTAGCGCAAATGGCTGCTGATCCAAGCAGGGGGTTGCTCCTGTCTTTCCCCAACAATCTGGGTCCTCAAATGATGATCCTTGCAAGAGGCCTGTGGATGTTTGACTCATTCCCATTCTCCGACGCTTTGTAGTTGTAAATGGTCATAACTTCTGCCACCAGATGCGACACCTTCAAAGCTGATCTACTTCAATCCTGACGTGACGAAGCTGATCAAGGCTGGACTTCACCTGAACACTTCAACGGGCAGAGTAAGCATCCCACACAGGGTAAGATGCTGCTTTCTCAGGATCCCTACATCTTGGGCAAGAGTCGTCATGCGTTTTGCGGCAGTAGCTCTGCCAGTCGCAGCTAGTGATCAGGGTTTGGATGGTGGTGATGATGATCGTAAGGAAAGTTATCGTCGAGAACCAGACAAAGTTTTGGGGCTTATTGATTTCGCTGGCAAGGGCATGTTGAACAGGCAGCCCAGCGCCATGGCGAGCGGACCTTTGTCTGCTTTGCGTGCAGTGTCGGTACCAAGAACAAAGCTAGGGACCATAAATGGATGTTTGGACAAACCTAGTCAGGGCAATTTTTGGGAAATGACACCCCAAGTTCTTATCCCCCCCCCACAGAACAACAGAGGAGAGCCCCAGCCCGCAGCCTCCCTGCGAAACCAGGAGCCCGTAAATCCCAACGCCCCAACTCTGAGACCTGGACGCAGGTGCTTCCGATCATCCTGCTCTCCTACTCCACCCAAGCCTCGTCTCCCATCATCTTAGCAACTCGGGTGCACCTCTCAAGGGCTTTTTTGGTTCGTTTCCTCCGGGTTTTTGATGTTGAGTAGTGCCTCTATATTACGGCCTGTCAAGTGAGTCAAGTGACCTTGTCTGAACCACACGGTTCTCAGGTTGGTTCAAGGTACGTGAAGAGGCCGTGGATGCCTATCCTAGAGACGAGGTAAGGTTGCACTCCACTTGAATCCAAGCACCTTGTCCCAAGTCTTGAAGCATCCTTGATTTCTCGCTCCTGTGCTGCACCAGCATCCCCGAATCCTCCGAAAGTCCTACATTCCCAAATCCTGGCTCGTCCCCTGTGCAAATGGCTGAGGCTTCGATGCAAGACAATTCATGGGGAAACGTGCGGCATGTCACCGGATTGGTCTATTTCCTTCTGTATGCCTCTGGGATGACATTGGGGAAATGGGAAAAGGTTGCAGGCTTTACTTTTTTCTGTACGGGCTTGAGGGGCAGGTCGGATGTTTTTTGACACGAGATGTGTAGTTGTTAGTATTAGGCTGACTCACAACTGTCACCGTTGCCGTGGAAAGCATATCCGGTCTACAGCAACCTCCTACCGAGCCAAAGCAGAGTGGTGCAGGGCCTGCAGCGTTGCTCGCCGAATTCCTGAGAATGTTCTGAGGTCAGGGGTCCAAAAAATGACATGTCCGGAAAGATATACAGGTGTATGACAACAACCATGAGGGTTTGAACCCTTCCACATCCTTCAATTGGCTTAAGCTGTCGAAGCTCCAGAGTCAGTGACAAGGCGATTTCAGCAGTCTTCGGACATTCTGTGTATCTGCGCTATGCCGACCTGTGCACCAGCAGCGCGTTGACTACCATAGGCCCGGCCAGTAAACTTTGCGTTTGCCGGCAAGTTTCTTGAAGTTGCGCAAGTTTTACGAACCTCCTGGGGTCTAGTATGATTTGGAAAAGGTTGCAAGTAGGCTGACAGCTGCGCTACAATGACTGGCCGCGTGGAGCCGGGACAAGGAAGAGGGCGGCCGCACCCATCATCATGGCACCCCAGTGCTCAACAGAAATCGCGGAACGAAACAGCTGGAAATTTGCTAAGCAGCCCACACTCTGTTTCAGCCGGGAGGCTACCGTTCTATCGACCAGGTGGCACGGTGGTGTCTGGGCTACACTTTCCATGTAGATTTTGATCAGCTTTGCTCTGCATCTGTACAAGAGAATTTAGATGAGGAGTGAGGGCTTCAACAGAGCTCATAGAAGGTTTCTGAAGGCCGTGGGTACGCATGATGGAGGAGAGAGCACACTTGTCGCAATCTCAGCGGAAGTTGACCGCCTGTACATGATGTCTTTGCTGTGTCATTGTTGACAACAATCTTTGCTCTGAAATGAGAAAGTGCATGCACATGACACTGGCAAACCTCAAAAACATGACTGTTGCAATCACACTGGAGCATGTGACTGACATACATGTGTGCAGACTGTCGGAATCGCTCTGGAAATTGTCTGTTGCAGGCTCTCCAAAACACGTGGCGTACATGCAGCTGTACATGACCTGTCAACCTATTGCCAAAATCCAAGCCGAACAACACAGGGGCTGTCCTGTTAAACCTGAGCACCACAGGGGGCTGCCCTTGCAGGTACATGGGATTCATCAGATACCATATCCTGGCTTATCACTGGAGCTTTTCTAGAGATGTCCAAGTGCTGTGCCGTTTTTCCCTCTGCGCATGACAAAAGGAACAAGTGCATCACGCTGACATGAACTGAACATGCTAACATGCACTACATTTTCCTTGGTGGAGAGGGCTTCCACACACAGTCCCTCGATTGCCGTATAGAAGTTGTGTCTCTAAATGCAGACGTGCAGCGCTACCATGCAAGGTCTTTTTTCAGCGCAGTAGTCGGTAGTCAAGGGAAACGTGCGCGTTTGGGAGAAATGCATCAGGACCTGATTGGGTCCCGCTATATACAACCCTTACTTGCTGGGAACTTTGAAGCTGCTTTGGAACTCTCTCAGGTCCTCATTGAAGCATGATGGTGTATCAGAGTATTAGTGAACACTGGGGGTCTCGTTCGGGAAACCTCCTCAGGTGCGGCTTCGTCCTGGCTTCCCAGCCGCAGTGAGTGAAGTCCCAGTCTGATCGAGCAGTGATCACTGCTCAGTCAATGCGTCTGAGGTGTTTATCTCGTACATCTTCATCATGTTCCCAATTCGGCCGCTTGGCGTGTGCGTCAGCTCTCGCCCCAACGGCAGTGTCTCTACATACACCACCGAAAGAGCCAGGTATCTCCAATGAGACATCCTTATAGACTCCTGGTGAACTGTCCTTAAAACGCGTGACAGCTCCCAATACATCACTGCACAATACCCGTTAGCCTCTTCGTCATCCAAATGCGCCCACACCATATTTCCAAACGCACAAAAATCCCTAGGCAATCTCTACTATTCTTACTCACAAATCCGCGCACATGAAAAACTTCCGGCACTCCCACAGCATTGCCAAGATAATGCCAGCAGTGCAACTTCTGCAAGGAATGTGCTGATGTCAGCTTGCCTCCGTACCGATGAGCTCCATCACGAAGCGCCTTACATGGTCTTTGCAGCCCCTGGGCTGTATGACCTAATTAAATATGTAAGGATCGTTGAATAGGATGCACAAGGATTTCACCGAGATGGTGGACTTATTGTGCAAGGATGTTGTTGGGATTCACCTGGGGATGCAAGATAACATGCAGTTTTGAGCAGGTCCTAGAAAACGAGAATCAGAATCCAATTGAGATTGAACGCGAACCAGTTTTCTCCTTGAAAGGAGTCAATTTGCCGCGCTGAGACAGCCCCGTGGGTTTTCTTATGTGCTGATATTCTCCAAGTCTTGAGGCGTGTAGTGCTGCCATCACTGATCGGCATCGTTTGGAACTGGATGTTTAGCAGACGTTTGACCCAGATTGTCAGACGGTCAAGCTCCCATATCAGATTCCTAGTTGGGGGTGGCTCGCGCGCATCGATCAATTTCAAGCCCTGAGACTCCTGATGTCCTTCAGGAAGTGCAGGAGTATACTTTTTTGTGCTCCTGCCTCAAGGAAAACTTTCTTTTGAGTACGGAAAAATGTATTCCGTAGCACTACCACAAATTCAGTATTTAAGGGCCTTTTGGAACAGGGCTTCAATGGGCTCAACGAGTGGAAACTATCCCTAGTACGGTTCCGAAGGCCAAAAGGTGAAAATGAGTACCATTTTTTCACATTCCTTTAGGTTTGTACAGGTTTAGTACGGGTACAGAGTTCAATGGCTACAGAATTTCAACATAATTTTCACCATTTGGCCCCTGACGTTGGAAATCGGCATCCCAAAAATATCCCAACAGTAGGACTCAAGACCTTCAATACCTTGAGGCCATATTGTATGTAGGTTAAAAAGTATTCCTGAAACCAAAACGTATTCTGTTTAAGAAAAAAGTATTCTGTGTGCCAGGAATTGCTGGGAATACAAAAAAAGTATTCTGCTGTATTCGCTGGAAATAGGGATAGAATATCGACCCAACTCTGATCGGTGCCCATTTCGCTCTTTTTTTAAGCAACATGGGCTTGGTAAGTTGATTGGCCATCTGCAGCATCTATGCTGACAGGGTTCTATTGTTTTCCACCTCAGCCCTGAGCCAAGGCAGTGTCCGTGGTCCTCAGCATATGCCTGTCCTCGTGCCCTGCCCGCATGTTGCTGACTGTATGGGAGTGCGCTATCGAGGCAAGTGTTTGTCCTCGGAGCACATACCGTGCTCTTGTTTTCTCACTGCTAATTATGCTTGGTTGAGTGAGTTCTTTTCACGCTGGTCTTCTAGTCATCTCATCTTCACTTGTCTTAGTTCTGACAGCTCGTGAGCAAGGACACCCTGTGGTGTAGACTAAACGCTGTGCCACACATTCCGAGCAGGAGGCCGCCCGATCCGTGAGAGCCTCACATTTTCTTGAGTCCCTACCCACGGAAGAGATCTCTTTCCGCTTTTTCTTGGGAACCCGGCAGCGATCAAGGCTTGCCGTTGTCGCCCAAGAGCTCGGAGGACTGCGCCGTTGCATGAAGCGATGATGGTAGGGAAAAGCTTGCAGAGCACCAACCGGATCGATCACACTCATGATCAAGCGAATATCTCGCAGATGTCACAGAGCCCTTGGCATGGGCTGATCGACTGTGCAGAAAAACTGACATGCTCGGGGCTCTATGCCTCTCGACTCGTGGAAGCAGCTCTAACTGCTAAAGCCATGGGCAACCGGACTGCCCAGTGAGGATAAATACTGAACCGGCCTTGTATCCCTTGCTGGCCCTTGCTGAAACTTGAAATCGCAGGCTTGGAACTATGCCTACGCTTTGGTGGGGGCTGCTGTGCAACCCTGCCTCTCGGAGGCAAGGTGGTGTAGGAATCTTGGTAGAACAGGGTAAAGAGCTTCTGAACTTGGACATAATAGGTTCGTTCGACAGGGGGTTCAGTATTCCTCCTTGAATCTTCGCATATGTCGTTTTGCAAGCATCCTTGCCGATGAGATGCCGTCCCAACCAAGTTCCAGTCCGTCTGTTTAGGAAGCCCGGCGCATTGCATCCTTTTTTTCCGGAGTAGGACGGATTTAGCTACGGTACCAAGACGGGAGGGTGAGTGCAAGTGCCATGCTACAAGTACTACTTCTGCCTCTAGACTCGCGACTGCTGCTATTTTTGCTGATGCTTCTTCTAGAGCACCATAACCTCTACTACTGCTCGGCTACAGCTGCTAGCCCCAATTATTGCTTCCGCCTCCATGTCTAGTAATACTCCCACTCATCTTTTGTTCGTCATCATGATTTTGTGTTCTAGTCCGAGTTCTTCCCTTGATCGCGAGCACGAATGGCCGAGGATGGCCATGGTCTTTCCTCCCCTGCTCTTCGTCCGCACCCGAGCGGAGCGCGGCTGGGATGCGCGCGTTGCCGCTGGGCGAGGAGCACTAAGCTTTTTCATGAATTTTGGCAGGTATTCGGCTCAAGCGACTCCTTCATTACACACGTGGTATGTAGAGTTCAGGGACGCAACGAAGCAAGTTTCCCTTAGCTGTGCATTTCGGAGCTTCGATGAGAACTGCTACTGGCCAGACTCTGACTTCTTCGGCTTGTAGCAGTTCCAGGGAGAAAGCAAAGCTCGCAAGGCTGCAACCCCACATTTCCAAAAGCCACAGCTGTTAGCCTTCATTTAGCCACGCAGAAAGAGACGGTATTAATCACAGGGCATTTCTCCTCTCCCCTTGCTTGCCACTCATAAGCGAATTCGATCAATCTGAGAAGTATTGAATCCTAGCTGCTAGCTACATTGTATCCAAGCCTGGCCCAGCACTTACAGAAGACGATTCTGCCCTTCAAGGGCTTCTCAAATCCCTTTGTGGGGCTACTTGTTGGCCACCTTACCCCAGACCTCCTTACAGCAATGGATTTGGGCTCAGATTACCAAACCGTGAATCCTCTACATCCTGCAACCTTCATCTTGCATCATCTTGTCCACTGAGGTATGCGGCAGTCGGGGAGGCATGCTGGGACTTTGCTTGTGGTGGCTACCTCCCCAAATCCAGAACAGATTCCGGAGGGTGACAGTCTCTCGAAATCAGAACTGCACGAATCACCTTTGCTTACTTGAAGGCGCATGACCACTTTAGCCACTTCAGGGTTTCCTGGTAAATTTTGGTTGCTGCAATATGACACCGGAGAGTCATATCATCTCACATTCTTATCATTCTTGCAGGCTTAGCAATGATCTTGGCCATTGGCACCAGCGTGTGGATTCTGAGTGGCCTGCTGCAAGATCAGAGATGGCTTCCAAATGTCGCAAGCGGTTTTTCATGTTTTTTCCGTAAGTTAGTAAGGAACGGTTTCATGGACATTGGACTTCTTGAGCTTTTGCCGATCATGATGTTGATTGTTGTCGCATTTTGCTTGGTGTCTTCCATCTGGTGGATCTTGGAGGTGTTGGTGGATGTTGGTGGTAGTGAGTCATCGCGTATAGCTATCACTTGCGGAGATCCGGAGTCAGGTGTGCATGGGTGTGCGCTCTTCAGTGCTGATCGCCAGGCCCAGTAGACGGATCTTGCATCGCAGGCCCTGCACAGAAGCTCTGCGCCCTCCTGCAAACTGACTGCAAGCAAGACCTGCATTCGCTAAGGCAATATAGCCCTGGTTTCTGACATAGTGGAGCAGATTCGCAAGCCCGCCTCGAACGAGACGCAATTGGTTTTCTAGCGAAAAAGGGTTCCCCTGCATGCACTTGTTTGCCGAGATGAGGGGAGATGTTGCATAGATACTGGTGCTCCATGCATCTACTTTATCTTGCCCTTTGGGCATGACACCACAGCATCCTTACAGGTTTCACAGTTGCACTATATTGACTTCTTAGGAGCTGCACTTTTACCTTCTACCTTGCTTCGCCGAGCAGCGCCGCAGACTCTTTTTTGGAGTGGCATCTGCCATGTAACTGTAGCTTTGACAGCTTTGGCAGTTCTGCAATCCTCCTTAGGGGTAGCCCGCCAGCCTTGCAGAAGCTGGCGCACATCGCATGTTTCCATTGCCCCTCGGGAGGTAACGGATGAAAGTTCCTCTGTGAGCCCATCAGTCTGTTGGAGATCTGCCTGATGTGGAGCTCGCAAACATTGCCTTCAAGTTCATACGCATGGCAAGCAGTACGTAACGCCATCACATCAGCAACAACGAGAAGTTTTTGGCAGTTGCCTCTCCACTCGCTGTCTTGTGTTCTAGATCTGACTTCTCCCTAGAGATCAGGCATGTTCTTCTAAACGGGATCAAATGATCCATGCTCCTTAGCACTTGGCACTTTCCGCTACCAAGATCGACCAGCTCTTCGAAAGTGTTTATCAAAAGCCGATTAGAGACTCAAAATTATTTCCCTTTGCAGGTGTTTCTAGTGATTCAGGAGAGACCTTTCTCGAAGGCAGGCCCGATCTTGAGCAACTATCACGCACGCTTGCTTCCCAGAAAAGCACAATATTGAAGGCAACGCCTGGAGATTAAGATATTCCGTCGTTAAGGGATTTGAGGCCATTCTGGCGCCCAAATCTGTGTTTACGATACTCCAGTAGACCCTCTTCTTGAATATAAGCGCATCATTTGGCGGCTGGCGGTTGCCTACTTAGCCAGAGACCTACCTACTCTCCCGCGTTCTCCCTCTCTCTCTCTGTCTCTCTCTCTCTCTCTCTCTCTCTCTCTCTCTCTCCGCGTGATCGGTGCAGACTATGCCACGTCGGTGTTTTACATCAATCCAATGTCTGACATTCATAGAATCAATGATTCTATGATTCATAGAAACGCTCAGGCTTAGCAAGACTAAGTGAAACCTACAGCAGAGCTAACCTCCAAAGGCTACAGACCTTCAGTGTTACGTCCTCCACCTGCTCAAAAGCTCCGAGGATACTGTCTCACAAAGCGGTTTCCAAACGGACCAGTGAAGTTGTTGCGAGGTAAGCTTGCCATGTGTCATATCTTGATGTTCCCTATGCACTGGTACACCAACAAGTGGGTCTGTAGGGGTTTCCCCACATCTCGCCAACTGTCCATGGCTCGAGCCGCCTCTTGGCGTGATAGCTAGGGTGCACAGACTGCGCACCCAAGAAACATCTTAATTCTACTGGCCATTGGCTGAGGTCTTCCCTAGGGAGATTGTGCCTTTGATTTACACGTCCGGTTGCAGCAAGTATGGACTCGTGATTTGAGACCATGATTCTGAGACCGTTCTGGCTGGGTGGCCAGCTACTTCTGCCGGGAGCCCAGGAACCCAAGCAGTTAGATACCGGAGAAGCCGTCAACAGGTGAGCGAAGGAAGGAGGCCTTGGAATCGTGCAGTCTGGAATCAAGCGACTTTGCAGCGAGCAGGAGCTTCCAGAAGGAATAAACCCAGCCTTTCCTTGCAGACCATGAACATCCACACCCCTGGACCATGGGGTCCTCAAGCAGCCATAACTGATACCCGTGGCCGTGCCCACCACGTTGAGGGATCCTCCTTTGCGATTATTTGCGGCTTTCGTTGGTCAGCCTTTTCGTCGAGGTCCAGCATCTTTTGCGTGGCCGTAGAGGCCGGGGCCTCAGCCTTGGGGCCTTTCTGAGATCAAAGTTGTTCTCGCTCAAATCATGGTTTGTGACAGGCTAGGGCCGGTTTCAGCTTTGCATCTTTGAATTGCATCTGTCGCATGTACTCAAGGAAGCTTACTGATGACCTTCGACACATCAGTCACAGTGAAACACAGAAATGGTTTGCAAATTAGTTTGGCCTGCGTCTTGGCTCCTTTTCTAGCACAATTCAGTAACACAGAACAGTCCTTGCTCCGCGCGCCCCTTGCCCCATGCTGGCGTTGTACGACGTCGTTTAGATGCTATTTGCTTCCTGATACCGTCATCGTGTGCACCGTTGTGCTGAACACATCAACGAATGAAACATGACAAAGATACCACCAGCTGCGGCAACATGCTGCAACGGTACTGCATCGTTCTGCTCTGATCGACCTGTGGCCGGCAGCACTGGGTAGCTGAAGTCCGAGCTGAAGTCTAAGGGGAGCAATTCAGCAAACGAACGTGCATCACTCAGTAAGGCCTGGACGGAGAACTGGACGGAGGCCAACGCATCGAATCTTCCAAGCGGTCGCAATGCTCACAGTGCTGCCGTGGGGTCCGATGGTGTGATGTGGATTTATGGTGGCTGGGACGGTAGCAGTGGCCTCAGTTGCAACTGCATCTTAGAATTTCAATCTTTTTCAGTGGCCGCCGTCCGAAGACCGCAGAAGCAGTATCTTAGAAGAGCGGTGGAATTCAGAAGTACATGTGGGGTTGTCCGAAAACCCTTGTTTACGATTTATATAAACGAAAACCAAGTA